TGCAAAAGGCAGATTTTCTGTAGCTCTCAAACTGTAAGGCAAAAAATGACAGAGCCAGAACTAGTTAACACTGATGAAGAAATGTCCAGAAATGTGACCTAACCTGCTGTACGCCTAAGAAAAAACATTGTACTCATTCATTTCAATTTTCTGTTCAGTTCTGCTAAATCCAACTCCATTCCTCATTGCAAATCTCTCCTGGCAGATCCGACTGCTGTATGATCCTTCCCTTACTCCAGTTTTCTTCCAGAACACAGAGAAGCCCTCTCCAAGATGGTGTCTATTCCCTGGTAGGAGGTTTCCAGAAGGGATCTGAGTTGACCATTATTTGTTTCAGTGGCAGACAGGAGAAAACCATGCTAATGTTTTCATCATCCTACCTGTGCTTTGGAAGACTTAGGCTGTGTTCTGAACTTACAACATGGCATATTCAGATCAAACAGGCCTTGTTAGTATTCCCCTGTTCTTCTGAAAAATGTTTTTTTTAACCCTCCCAGGATGTTACTTGAAAGACATCTTTGGAAAAGAGCCTGTTATGAAGACAAAGAGACCACAAAGTCAAAGAGGAGACTCTTATCTTTCTGATTTTTTTTTCTTTAGTACCTGATCACTTTATCTGTATTTACCTGTGATCTTATCTTGCAAGCAGCCTGAATACACAGCTCCCTCTGATTTCATTAGGCACCCTGTACCAGTACTAATAGAACACGTCTCAAAGTGCATTACAACCCAAAGCCGCCTTTTAAGATTGATAGGAAAGAGTTCACCTGAAACCCAGCCCCACTCATTGCAGGCTTGAAAACAACCAAAATTGAAGCAGTATGTTACCTAAGAGCCTTCACGCCCAAGAAAATGGAGGCTACCACATCAATCACCATTACGAACACTCCTTCCTTTTAACAGTACCCTCCTGATAGCAGATTTTTTCATCCTTTAGTCTAAGAGCTTGAAGGAGCAAAGAAGCATTTTCCGCTCCTCAAGAGGAAGTAATTATTGGAGGCAATTTCTTCAGCTATCACTTTGGTTCTGCTAATCCAGATCCACCTGTCCTGAAGTCAGCACTTTCCTTGTATACACACATGAAACAGCCATCAGAATACGTGGTCCCTTCTAGAGAGGCAGTTCACAAATTTCAGCACAGTTTACCGGTCAAAGTTATTTATTCTACAATTACAGACTAGCAGATCTTTACAGAGTTAACCATTTCTTAGTAAATGATGTGTTCTTAACTATTTTTGTAAGATATTTCTTAAAATATTCTGAAAAAATTCACTAGAGAGGCCTCATATTTCACAGAGACAGTTGATAGCCACTGTGGCCATTTGGCCACTTCAGTTTACTGTACAAGTATCAGCTGCATGAAATTGTGCTATCACTGAAAACCAATGGCAAAAATCTTCTGGTTTAACACATCAAGTACTATCTTACGAGCTATAGCTTGGCACATAAGCAGAGATGGGAGCCTCACTAACAAGGCACTGAAGAATCACAGACATTAAAATCACTTATGCAAAGCAATGCATTTTTCCCTGCTTTTTGACATGCTCTGAACCAGATTGATAATCAGTAGCTCCATAAGTGCAAGAGACAACCAAACACTATGCAGAGGAGCAGCCCTCAAATACTGTCCCAGGTTCCTCGCTGTTTACTCTGCAGCTCTGCACTGGGTAACGGTGATGAGAGCAGGCTTTCTAATTAGAGGAGTGCACTACAAATAGACTGGTGCTTCTGCAGGCAAGTATTTCCTTCTGTGCTCTCTCATCCTCTCTCCAGGTTTCTGATTATTTACAGAAACAGTAAACCCACCTTCTTCACAGATATTTTTCTTCCAAACACTGTTAAAGATGGGGGAGTAATTAATTACATTAATCTTCCCATGGAAAGATGCAGTTGGCACTGGTGGTAGACTTCGTTATCAACCTTATCACCCTCTTAGTTTGACTGAAACAACAGCAGCCACTTGAGAAGCAAAACCTGCTGCTTAGTGATATTTGCTTCTTTCTTTCTCAGTAACTGGATAAAGGCAGGACAAGATGAAGACACGTCAGTTTTTCCTTCTGTCATTATTGTTTCTCACAGGCTTCTCAGCAGCAGACAGAATAAGCCCAAATGAAAGAAAGCCAAAGAAAGACAAACTCCCTAAAATAAAAAAGGAGAACAATGTACTCTTGCTGAAAAACAGCAACTTTGACAAAGCATTGAAGGAAACCAAGTACCTTCTAGTGGAGTTTTGTGAGTATCAATTTCCACTGTCTTTTACGCTGATGCAGAGCATGATTGATGCTAGGGCACTCAGGTATGCTTGTTTTACTGTTGCTCTGTCCTCCAGTACTCCTTGTTTGTTTTGCTTTTGTCAATGTATAAATTTCTGAACATAATGTCATTTATTCCTGTTTGGGATGGTTAAATAACAGTCTGCTACATAAGACAGATACTGACAGTAAGAAGGATCCTCACACATACAGTGCTGAGTTGGCATTCTCTGCTTCCACTGCCTAATTTTGCAAGTATGTGCTTCTCAGCAGTGATGGGTGAAACTCCAGGTATTAAAAAAAGAAAATAATACCAAAGGAAAAATAAGAGGGGACCTTTCTCTGTTACATTTTCATAAGGCATTTGTATAAAGTTTTTGCTGGATGGCATCTTTCCTCTGTGAGCATTTGGGCTTCAGGGAATGTCTTTTAACAACATGGTGTCTCTGATTGCTCTATATAGGACTGCAAGATTCTTTCCCGGAAATTAGCACTTGGTTAGGTGGAGGCCAGTTTGTGGTTTTGCTATTGGGTTCTTGTTCATTCCTCATGGTGAGGAACATAGTGGAGCCCTTTGAGTAACTAACTTTATTAGAAAGTTCAGCCATCTGAGCCTTACAGAAAGTGAATTACTAAAGCAAAAGCTGAAAGGTTTATTCTTCTGATGTTATCTGTCTAAAAATTCAGATGCTGCATAAGATCCCACTGCACAAACATGGAGCTGTATTTCCTAGCAGCTTTCTGGTAGCAGAAACACTTCAATCTGACTAAGACAGCAAAAGCTCTATCATAAAATGGTTTAGGTTGGAAGGGACTTTTAAGCTCATCCAGTCCAACACCCACCCACCCCCCCCCCGCCATGGGCAGGGACACCTCCCATTAGACCAGGTTGCTCAAAGCCCCGTCCAACCTGGCCTTGAACACTTCTGGGGAGGGGGCATCCACAACTTCCCTGGGCAACCTCTGCCAGTCTCTCACCACCCTCACAGTAAAGAATTTCTTCCTAATATCTAATCTACCCTCTTCCAGTTTAAAACTATTCCCTCTCAGGCTATCATTACCTGCCTTTGGATTTGCTGTGCCATACTCAATGAGCTCAGTGCATACATCCACTTAGCTTTACATTATGTAAACACTTTGCAAACCAGCACAGCTTTGGAGGCAGGGATTAAAGACAGGAACAAGCTGAAAAAACCAGTCTATTCCATATTTGGAAGGGATATTAGAAATTAAGGACATAGTCTAATTATGCAGAAGTGCATGTAGTTTGTTCTTTTACCTCACTACTATTACTACCTGAATGATTATGATGATAGTAAGTAGTATTGTAGATCAATCTGAAATTAAAACACTTGTATTTTTCCGACAAAAATCCTAAAATACATTAACAGATTAATGAAACTAAAAATATGTTTGCATTATAACAAACATTTCATTAATCCTGAAATGTTATGAAACTAATTATTTTTAAAACTTTCAGAAAAATCACA